TGTGAGCGCTTCTGAGAAGGCAGAGGAAGACAGGGAAGGGGGTGGGGCTGGTTCCCACAGGAGCCCAGAGGCAGGACGGCTGAGGCCCTGGTGTCTCCCAACTGCTGTCACTGCCATCAGCCCTGCCTGGGACACACGCGCATTTCCCAAGAGCCGCTATTCCATCACGGAACACGGGGGTGGGGGCCCAGGTCCGAGGCTGGCCCTGGTGTGCCTGGACGATGCAGGGGCACGAGCGCCTGCTCACGCCTTCCCTCCAGCTCCAGGTAGGAAGAGAGAGATGAAAACATTCGTTTTAGAAAGGGAAGGACAGGAGGGAGAGGACGGGATTCAGACTTGTCTCTGGACGTTTCTACTGTTTTTCTGGTGCATTTCCTCCCACTTCCTGTTCTCTACTGTTTGACGTCTCACTCTCTGCACCGGGGGTCTCCTCACGTCCCCCACTTCGCCCTTCAAGAAGCACGCCAAGCCCTAGACTGCAAATACCCTCGGTAGGAAGCCAGAGGAAATACCTCACCCTGTGCAGGGCTTACGGCCCCCATTGCAGCTGACCCTTTGCTGTCATTTCGGCATGGTGGCACAGACAGCGCGCGTGGGCGTGGCTTTGTGCCGGTGAAATCGCGTCACCCAGGGGCAGCAGGCCCGAGGCAACCTGCATACGCCGTGGTGCACCGACCTCTCCTCCAGACCCCTCCTGACGTCCCAGCCTCTTCTTCCAGGCTCTGCCTCTGGGGGCAGGAAGCACTGCTAACTGTCACCGAGGAGGCGACAATTATCACGGTTTGATGGGTTCTCTCCCTCAGCCAACGACACACTTGACAGAAAAGGCCTCCAACCAAACAGCCAACGTGGGACTTTAGGAGCCCTGGCAGATCTGAGCAAGAGAGACTGTGAAGGTGCAGAGCCTCCTGGCCCTGAAGTGCAGACAGACACCACGGCCCAGCTGCCAGGGGCACGGGAGGCCATCGGCACCCATCGCCCAGCTTCTGTCTGCCGTGCTGTAAATATTATGGGCCTAGCAGTGCCCTCCAGCTCTCCCGGGGAGTTTCCAGGCTGCCTGGGATGTCACCAAGGCCCCCACCTTCTCTGTCGTGGGGATGGGCATGCCTGGCTCTGATCCCTGCTTCTCCGTGCAAACGTGCAGAGCCTAAAACACACACTTATCGATTTGCCCACGAGAAAGGGAAGTTCTAAGAGGGCCGGGAGAGGCCCCCCCAGAACCAGCAGGGGACTGGGGAACAGAAGATGAAGAAGCACCTTCAAGAGGCAGAGACAAGAGAGTGGGAGGGGGGCGCCCCTCCCGAGCACCGGCGCCTGTCATCATGTAAGCTGACACCCGCAGCGAAGAAGAAAGAGCAGCGCCGGTGTCTCCAGCTCCAAATGCCAGCGGCCCGGAGGCCACGGGGACCCGAACGCGGCAGCCACTGACTCCGCCTGGGCAAATCCAGAGATGACGTCACCAGCACAGCCGCCCAGAGAAAAGCACATTTGCTTGGCACAGAGTCTGCCCGTGCATCCCAGGCCTTCTCTCCCCTTTCCTGTAAAAGAATCTGGAACGGCTCAGGGCCGTCGCCCCCCCGGCCGGCCCTCCACTCTCTCGGGACATAAACAAGCACAGATGAAAGACGCGCCGCGGTTTATGGCCCTGCCGTGGGCGGCACGACCCTGGGGCCACGCGGATTCATTCCGCGTTGTTGGAACAGTCCCAGCGGCCCATTAACAGGGCAGAGATCTGAGCGCGGTGGGAGGCCCTCGTGCCAGGGCGGGGAGAGGCAGGAACGGGCCTCGGACGCGTCCCGCTGATGAGCCCCGTAAACGTCCTTCAAGCAGGGGAGTGGAGGAAGGATGCGGGGCTCGTGGCGGGGGAGGCAGGTGGGGGAGGAGGGAGAGAGAGATGGACGAAGACGGGATACGGAGGACCGACTTGGGCCCCTGCCCCACACCGCGGGGCGGGCATCCCGCCCTCCCCGGCACGGCCTCGGTCAGCTCCCCGGCCAGGTGGCTTAAAACCCGACGTGCAGTAAGTGGATTTCTCTAGAAGGGCCAAGTCCCACGCGACTGTTTTGCAGCTACCTTACACACGGCTCTTTAGGAAGTCTCGACTCAGACCCACACCGGCCCCGTCACTGGAAGGTGTCACTGGAAATTCTCCATCTAGTCATTCGCCCGAGAAGCGTGTGCTGTGGGCCCACGTGTCAGGCACGGCCCGAGGGCGGCCTGGGGTCCAGACCCAGGGACGAGTCTGCCTGTGCTCTCAGGGGAGCCCGACACCAAGAGACTAGCCTTGCTCAGAGGACCCGGGGGAGGGGGCTGGGGAAAGCGACACAGTGCAGGTGTCGCTCGAACTGAAGCGGATGACACGAGAGATGAACAGAAGCTCCAGGTAGAAGGTGGGGGGGGCTTTTCTGTTAACGGCACGGAAGCAGTTTCCTCATCCACGAGGTGACCTAACAGTCCCTACGCCCGCCTAAGACGTGACAGGGCATCGTCCCACACCTACACCCTGCTGTTACAACACCGTGAGGCAGGAGACGGGCTATCAGCCTTTTCTTACAGATGAGTAAATGGAGGTCCCGGGGAGGGGTGATTTCTTGCCCGAAGGGCACACGGGGGGATGCCCCGTCTTTGTGCCGCCCCCGCCCTGCCCGCGTGGCTGCCTCGTGAAGATGCAAGGACATAGGTGCTCGCAGAATGCCAGGCGCTGCCTGGCCGCG